CTGCTAGTGTTTCAGGCAGAACAGCACCAGCTCCCAAGAGGGGTCTCCGTCCCCCTGGCTACATGGCTCTGCCCCTGTTGTGGGTGCTTTGCAGGGGAGGATCTGTGTATAGGCCATGGGCCAGGCAAGAGATGACTGTAGGGACTGGGCCACCATGACTGTGGCTTCTTGGGTGCTCACCCCAGGCAGGCTCAGAGTATAAAGAGGCCAGAGCTGCCGACCAGTTTGTTCCATGATTGGTCTGGTTGCTCCCCTGTCTAACCCTCAGGCCACTCTGCCTTCCCCTGACCCTGTTGCTGGTCATACCCGCCCAAGGCCAAGAGAAACCTTCAACACGTGAAACAGGAATTGAGAGCCCATTACATGTGGACACTTTGCATATGCTCTCTTGTCAAATCCTGGTAGCTTCATTGAAAGGGACACAGTTGGGCCAGGCATGGTGGCTCACACCTGTAATCCCAGCACTTTGGGAGGACGAGGTGGGGGGATCACCTGAGATTGGGAGTTCAAGACCAGCCTGACCAACATGGAGAAACCCTATCTCTACTAAAAATACAAAATTAGCTGGGCGTGGTGGCACACACCTGTAATCCCAGCTACTCGGGAGGCTGAGGCAGGAGAATTGCTTGAAACCAGGAGACGGAGGTTGCAGTAAGCCAAGATCATGCCATTGCACTCCAGCCTGGACAACAGAGTGAACCTCCATCTCAAAAAAGAAAAAAAGAAAAAGAAGGGGACACAGTTATTCCCATTTTACAGATGGAGAAACTGAGGCTCAAACAGGGGAAGTCATCAGCCCTAAGTCACATAACCAGTGAGGGGCGGATCTGGCTACTCTCTAATTTGCCTGGACACCACGCACTAGAAAAGCCCAACTGGCTCTTGTTTCATTCATTCAATAAAATGTTGTAGACTCCCGACTTTGTGCTAAGTGCAGTACTGGGTACCCAGGGTACAGCTGTGAAGCAGGCAGGCATCGCCCCTGCCCTTGTGGTGCTCACAGTCAGGGGAGCAGTAAATGAGCAAATAAATACGAAATCACAAACTGTGCTCCGATCCCCGAGGGCAATGAACACCCTGCAGGGAGAAGGAGTGACAGGAGAGAGAAACCAGCACAGAAAGAGAGTAACTGGGTTTGATCCGACAAGATGGAGTCAGCATTTTGGGGTGATGCAGCCCCATGGGTGTGGGGACCACCTCGAATCCAGGTTTCTCCATCCTCCAACAAACAGTGTGTCTTTGGGGGAGTTTCTTCACCCCTCTTAGCTTCAGTGCCTCCTCCTATAAAGCGAGGGTGGTAATGAAACTCGCAAACTATTTCTGAGCACATCAGGCATCAATGTGTCCAAACCATTCAGCACGGAGCCTGCATGAAGCAAGCACGCAGAAAACAGTACCAGCCACATTAAGTCAATCCAGGTGAATGAAGGTGTGTTTGGAGATGGAGAGAGAAGGAACGGTTTTGCCTGCAGGAAGAGCTCACTCACAGCATCAGTGAGTTCTTGGAATACTCTAGGCCTCAGGGGGAGATGGCTGGGGGATTCTGCATTGCTGAAAATGCCAGTGTTATCAAAATAGTGACCCTTGCCGAGAGTGGCAGGGTGGAATGGAAGCCAAAGTTGTAATTTGCCCATTTTGTGGAGGAGTAAGCTGAGGCTTAGAGAGGGGAAGTCACTTGGTTTGGCCTCTGTTAAGAAAATGAGCCCTCAGTCGGGCATGGTGGCTCACTCCCAGCACTTTGGGAGGCCTAGGTGGGTGGATCACAAGGTCAGGAGTTCAAGACCATCCTGACCAAGATGGTGAAACTCCGTCTCTACTAAAAATATATAGCCAGGTGCAGTGGCAGGTGCCTGTAACCCCTGCTACTCAGGAGGCTGAGGCAAGAGAATCGCTTGAACCCAGGAGGCAGAAGCTGCAGTAAGCCAAGATCGCGCCACTGCACTCTAGCCTGGTGACAGAGTGAGACTCCGAGAAAAAAAAAAAAAAAAAAAGGAAAGAAAAGAAAAGCAGAAAAGGAGGAGGGAGGGAGGGAAAGAAAAGAAGAAAAGGCGCCCTCGGCAAAAATGAAGGGTGCTTTTTCCAGAGTTTCTGTCCTCAGTTGCATTCTCTCCAGTCCCTATCCTTGTCCCATCCATGCCAAGTCCTACTCAATGCCCTAAAACTCTGTGATTTCCAGAGTATCCCGTAGAGCATCCAGCCCCAAATACCCTGAGAGGAACTGAGTTTCGAAGAATAAGCAGCGGGGGTTTGGTGCAACACCGCCATCTCCTGGTCACTCTCATGAACTACAGCTTGGGCCACGGAGCACCTACAAAGCGGACTGGACTCCCTTCCTGGAGCTACACGACATTGATATGCAACAGACTGAATGCAGAAGCAGATATCAGAATGCAACACAATCTGTCTTCTATTAAGCCAGACATTAAAGAGATTTACCCAAAGAAAGTAAAATAATGCTGTCTTCTCACTAAATTTATTTTGTTTTGGAAAATACGGTTATTCGTAATAAAGCATGTGTTATTTTTGTTAATATGCAATGGGTTTATTATTGTTATTGTGATTTTTCCATGAATTAATAAACAAGTCTTTTTAAAACGTCTCTGTTTTAATTTACAGCATGGCAGAGTCTCCCTACAATAGTTTCCTTCTCCTGTTCCTGTCCCCCATCCAAATCTAGTTTTCATTCACTGCCTCTCCTGGGCTGTGCGCTCTGCAGGGGTGATGCCTGTCTGCTGTGCCCTGGGCACCCAGCATTGTATTTGGCACACAGTAGGACTCAACAACATTTTGAGGCCGGGCGCAGTGGCTCACGCCTGTAATCCCAGCACTTTGGGAGGCCGAGGCGGGCGGATCACGAGGTCAGGAGATCGAGACCATCCTGGCTAACACAGTGAAACCCTGTCTCTACTAAAAATACAAAATATTAGCCAGTAGTGGTGGTGGGCGCCTGTAGTCCCAGCTACTCAGGAGCCTGAGGCAGGAGAATGGCGTGAACCCGGGAGGCGGAGCTTGCAGTGAGCCGAGATCCCGCCACTGCACTCCAGCCTGGACAACAGAGCAAGACTCCATCTCAAAAAAACAAACAAACAAAAAATTTGCTGAATGAATGAAACAAGGGCCAGTTGAGGCTTGCGAGTGGTCAGTATCCACAATGCCTTTTTAAAAAACACCTGCAACTGGCCCTGGCTGCCCAGAACACTTCTCTGAGAAAAAGGCTGAAAATGCACCCAAGTTCCCAAAGATAGGTAGGCGATCAGCTAGCACTGTGTGTCATATGGCAAGAATGTAAAGGAGCCTGAAGTCAAAATGTTGAGAACTGCAGTGATAGAGTACTGTGGGCACGGTGGTCAGGGGAGGCCTCTATGCACAAATGATGTTCAGCTGAGAGCCACCAAAAAGTCCGCCATGTGAAAAGCAGAGGGACATACATTCCAGGTAACGGGAACAGCCAGTGCAAAGGTAGGTACCCAGGAGAGAACACATAGGTGCAATGGTAAGAGAAAGGCCAGCAACCAGGCATCACAGAGGCTAGGGCAGTGCCCACTGTACAAGAAGGACTCAGTAAACAACTGCTGGGTGAATAGAGGGAGGGAGATGAGGAAGAGAAAGGAGGACTGGGAGGAAGCTCTCTTCTTGTTAGGGGTCTTGTAGTCTTTTGAGGGCAGGGGGGCTCACAAGTTCTGCCAACCATGGGAGATTCCCAACGCTTCTTCCCATGTCTTGAACACTGCTGCACAGACCAGCCTCCACTTCTTAGCTCACTCTGTAACCTCCTCTGGAGTGTCCGCCCTGCCCCGCCCCAATATCCTATCAATATCCTCATCTCCTACCGAACCAGTCCAGTGAACCTTGGAGGAGCCACTCCAAAATGCCCTGCACCACCATCGCTATTTTCTCCTAATTGATTGACTATTCCCTATCCTTCAAGGCTCTCCTCAAGTTTCGATTCTTCCAGAAAGCCATCCCTTACTGCCCCCACCCTCACCTCACCTCCCCCTGACCTCCTTTCTAACAGCGCACCTCTGGCCCCCAATGCCATCATCTGGTGATAACACAGAATGAGGTTTCAGGGAACACTTGCAGGGCATCAAGCCCTGTCTCAGCTCTGCAAGAACCCTTGGGAACCATCACAATGGCCCTATGAGGTAGGAGTGGTCTCCCCATTCTACAGAGCAGATGGAGGCTCAGGGGAGGAGAATCATCCCCAAGATCTCACAACAGGTGTGTGGCAAAGCTGGGATCCAAACTGATGTTTATCAGTAGTCTCAATCCTAAGACTGACTCCAAAGTTCTTTTAAAACCTGGCTGCCCAGAACACTATTCTGAGAAAGAGCCTGAAAATGCACCCAAGTTCCCAAAGAGAGATAGGCAATCAACTTGCAATGTCTGTCAAGGATACTGAAGGGAAGAGCGGCAATATGTGTGGCTTATATTTGCCAGTCCTTCTTGACCACACCCTAAACTCTATCTTTTTCTCTGTCACCAAGGAACTCTTTGCCTCCCCAGTGAAATATAAGATACCTAGCAATGAAAACCTGGATTTCTCAGAGCACTGCCCTAGGCACAAAGAAGGGTTTTTTTTTAAAATGCCACCAGGCACGGTGGTGCAAGCCTGCAGTCCCAGCTACTCAAGAGGCTGAAGCAAGAAGATTGCTTGAGACCAGGAGATCAAAGCCAGCCTGGGCAACATAATAAGAACTCATCTCTAAACAAAAGAAAAGAAAAATAAGTACCAATGGTGATAACGGTTGCACAATAATGTGAATGTACTTAATACCACTAAGATGTTCACTTAAAAATTATTATGGTGGTTAAGTTTTAGGTTGTGATTATTTCACCAAAATTAAAAAATAAAATACCCCATTATATTGACTTCCAGGGTCACTCTTGAGGAAAGGCTGACTCCCTGAGAGAGCCCACCCCCGCTCCTTGAAAACACGACTGACTGCCCCCTCTCCCCTAAACAGCACGTCCCTTCTGCTTCACACGCTACAGTCATGTTTCCAGTGTGAATTGATTTTTAATAACAAAATGGTATTTTATGGTATTTTACACAGAAGCAGCTACATTCATGGGTGAAAACAAAAATCCAGGTGACACTCCTTTGCTGAATCCAAGTAAAAATCTGATTTTTAATCTACAGAGAAACTTCTGCCCACACATTCAGCATCCCCTGGAAGTAATGACGTGGAAAACAAACATCTTTTCTGGTCTGTTAAAGTAAAACAATGGGTCCCTGGATAGACTCTCAAGAGGGCCTTTGTTGGGATGGAAGCAGTCCCCCACCCTGAGAGCATCCCCCAGCTCAATATGTCACCATGTACACCAGCATAGCCCTCACATTGGGTCCACAGCACAACCTATTAAGAAAGGATTACTACACCTGTTCAGATTCGGAGGCCAATTCCTCAGCTCTAAGATCCTGCTCATAGCAAGCTTGATGTTCAGTAGACTCAAGAGCAGACTGAATGAGGGAGGGGTTGACGAGAATGTGCCTGCTTGGGCTCAGCCTCCTCTAATATTGTCAAGATGCACACACACATGCACGCACGCGCACACACCCTCCTTGAATCTCACAACCATTGCCAATCTCTACGTAGGCCTAGTCCCAATCTTTCTGCCTCTGGGAACAAAAGGTTCATTACCCACCAAAGCATATTTTTCCCTCTCTGGGACCAGGATCAGCCTCTTGCAAGCTTACTCCACACTTGTATCTCCCCCCTTGCAGTCATGCATGACAAATGGGCTCCCTCCCCAGTGGAATTCTCTTGTGGACTTGCAGCCTATGACTGTGTTTCCCCTAGTCTTTTCTCCAGGGGCTTCCCACCACCACGGGATGACATGTTTTCAAGATTGCTCCCTTTCCGAGCCTTTACTGTCGCCTTGGTCCCCTTTACTTTCCAGTCAGTGCAGAGCTACCTCCAATGGGGTAGGCATGTACGGATTCTGTTCATCAAAAGGTGGACCAAAGGGTCTTCCTAGTTTCAAAAAGTTCTGCTCAGTTGTGGCCAGTTCTGCTAAAATGTGGCCAGACCCCATTGCAAACTCTTCTGAGTTCCACCTGGGCTGGAAAAGCCAAATGGCCAGCCTAAAACTCAAATCCACTATCTCTCTTTCTCAGATCATATCCATGGCTCCCCAAGGCCTAAGGTTAAAAATCTAAACTCCTTGGCAACCAGACCCGGAACCATGCACATTTCCCCTATCTCTTGCTACATTCCACATGAACCTTCCAGAACCTCTTTGGATCCTCTCTGATCCCCAGAAACTGGTGTGCACCACTCTCACTGCCTGGAACTCAACCCCACCCACACTCCACCCAGCCAGAGCTCAGCTTAGAGGCCTCTCCAGAAAGCCACCCCAGGGTGGATTAGGTGTCTCTCTGTCCCCATTCCACCCCCCTGTACCCACCCAACACACTAGAATTAAAGCTCCTAAAGACCAAATGGTGTTTAACTACCACTACATCTCCAATGCCTGGCACATGACTGGCACAGAGTAGGTGCACATCAATGTTGTCCGTCTCCTGCGTGTTCCCAAGTCCCCTGACCCATCATAACACCATCTCACTGAATCACTATCTACTTCACCAACTCTCCCACTAGGATCTAAAAGCACAATGATGAAAAAGCCCAGGTGCAGGTCCCAGCGCCCAGAGCAGTGCCTGACACATAGTAGGTCCTTAGCAGCATCAAATCTTTGCAGTTAAACAGAGGAGTTTCAGGAATAGGAGGGGTTTCTGAGCTTCCTGCTTTGAGTGAAATGGGGTAAGGCAGCCACTAGAGGGTGGCAGGCAGGCACTTCCTGGGTGTAGACTCTACCCCATCCAAGGTCCCTGCCAGCAGCCAAGGCATCTTCTCAGAGCTCTTCCTAAGACATCTTTTCTCTCTTGTGCCCTCTGCAGCTCAAGCCTCTGGATCACCCTTCGGCCCTTACTGCCAACTACAATCGGTTAGCTCTGAGTCCACAGTTACCAGAGAAAAGGGCCCTCAGCATGGGACTAGGATTCAATGACCCAAGCAACCTGCCTGTAAGGCCTCCAAGCCAGCCTTTGACCTATCCCTAAATTGATCCAATCCTCCAGGCCCTGCCTTGAGCTGTCTTCTCCCACAGACCCTGACTTCCAGACTAAGCCAGCAAAACCTTGACCTAGTGCCACCTCTTACCTGCACCTGGAATCCCTGGCTTATGCTCCCTGCCCTTCTACTCCCAAAGGACGTTCCCTAAGTCTAAAGAGATCAAAGTCCCTTCCAGAAAAACTCCCGTTTCCTCGGTGCAGCTAAATTGCACAGAAGAGTTTATGCTAGAAGAGCTAAAAGTTAGAAGAGGAAGCTCAGACAGTTTATACTACTAACATGTAAATGACGGATGGAATTATAACCCTTCTGAACACTCTGATCTAACGCTTTATGTCCTAGAGCTTCCAAAACACAACGTCCCCAAACGAAGACTCTAGGCCCTGGCCTGGGGACGGGTGACTCTACACAAAATGGCATATGCTCTGTAGACACCAGACAGGTATTTTAAGGTTTATAAGAGCTGCATCTACTTGTGCAAACTATTGGAGCTATAAGGCTATATTGTTTAAAGAACTGAAACCAAATGCAGATCACGAGGAGTGAAGACATACCCAGTGGCCAAAACCTTGCAAGACTGGCTATACTTCTGACCCCAACTTGATGGGTACCATTTGCTCCATCAGGCCTGGTCCACACTTGAGCCCTGGCACCTCCCTTAGAAAACTACCATCTTTATCGACTTCTGATTGCTCTGACTCAGAGCAGCCACCACGTTTAAAATTATCTACACTTTTCCCTGTGCTAGTCAAGTTCAAACCGGTGTTAGCCCCTTTCCAGCCATGCCGACATCCAAGCTGTTAATTAACAGTAACAAGGAATGTTAGACCTGTTGTTAGTCAGAAAGAAATCCACAAGCCATTAGTTTCTGCTGAAAGGAACAGACCAGGAAGGCAGGAGTTAGTAAAGGTGAAGGAAAGGTTAATTAAGAGCCGGTCAGGGCCAGGCCAGGAGCCTGGAGCCCCCAGACACACCAGGTTGGTTGTTAGTGGTCAGCCCCTGGGGCAGTCAGGGTGAGGCAGGGATTAGCTGGGTGAGAGCAAGAGTTAGTGCAAGGGAGCCAGAGATTAACCCAAAGAAACCAAGGTGCCTACTGGAGGTGAGGCATGAAATCACCCCCAGGTGTGGCCCTGGCTGAGCGGCTGGCGGGCTCTGGGGGAGGCTGGCTGAGGCAGGGACGTGGGTGGGAACAGAAAGCCAGGGATGCATTCCTGGCAGGCCTGAGCAGCTGCGGGAACCCTGTGAGCCCCAGAAGTTCATTTCTTGCTCCCCACTTCTCTCTCCTGCAAACTCCGAGCCCGGGGTAAAGTTGCTTCCCCTTCCCAACCCTCCTTTTCAACAGGACAACTAACGCCCTCTACCTTCCGTGCGTGGAATGGATCTTCCCCAATGACTTCCGGTCACGGCCCCACGTCTACTTCCGGTGGGGGAAACCCTCCTCTCTCAGCTCCAGAGATGGAAGAGGCCTCTCTAGCTGACTTCCTGTGTGGGAAAGAGCCCTCTCACTGACTTCTGGTGTCAGAAACGTCCCTCTTCTCGGCTTTCAAACATGGGAAGTGTTCCTCTGACCGACTTCCTGTGTACTAAATACTCCACTCAGTGGTTTTTAGCGTGGGAAAGACCCGCTTCATTGACTTCCGGTGTAAGAAAGGCTCCGCTTTCTGAATTCAGGTGTGGGACACGCCCCTCTGCTAATTTCCGGTGACGGGCACGACCCCTCCTGCCTTCCTCGTGGGACACGCCCCCCTCTTCCTGTGCAGGACAGCTTCTATCCCTGTCACTTAACAATGGAGAAGATTCTTCCCCAGCTTCCTTCCAGAGAAGGACACAAAAGCTCAGAGCTCCACAGTCTAGTGTCTAGACCCACAGGCCTCCACACTCACGTCCCAGAGGTTTCCCTGGTCCCACCTACTCCCAGTGGCAACCAGACTTCTGCACAGAGGAGAGATGTCATACTCAGAGTCCAGCCTCCCCCATCCACAGGACCACCTCCTCCTCCTCTGAGTCTTGTTAATAGGGCCATCCCCTGCCTTAAACCTGGCCCAGTGGACTCTGATCTTACAAACAGCCAATATGGGGCAGCAAAGTGGGACATCTGTATACAGGGCCAGTAGTCCCAAGTCATCTGTTTGCCAAAAGGAGGGGGACCAGCCCCCGGGGGGAGCCCAGAGCTCGGCAGGGCTGGGGTTAGTAAGAAGAGAAAACAGGGTTAGTAGGGGCTGGGTTAGTAAGTCAGAGCACAGCACCAGCGGACAGGGCACCTCAGCAGACACACACAGGAGTCGCTAGGAGAAAAGGAAGAACGCACGCAGGTCCGTTAGTTTGTTAAGGGATGATCGGGGTGCAGTTGAGGTACCCCGGGGTTAGAGGGGTTAGTAATCGAACAAAAGAGTTGCCTACAGAAAAGAAAGCTGAGACGGAGGAAGAATGTGGGGAAGTGACAGTCAAGGATTCAAAGCAAGTGTCTTGCCCCAGGCAGAAGGATCTGTGTGCAGAACACCCAGAGAGGCCAGGGCCTAGGCAGCAGACGTGTTCAACCAGGTTTGGGGGGCCTTCCTCCACCCTCATACATTTTTTTAGAAAAGTATCTGCCATGTGCCAAGATCCTTATATTCACGGGAATCCTCACTGCAACCTGTGAGGTATCAGAACTCGCATTCTACCACTGAGGAAACTGAGGTTGAGAGAAGTGAGATGACTTACTCAAAGTCACCCAACAGGAAGTGGCAGAGTTAGTGAGTCTTATTTGCATTCCCTGTCCTGGAACGTGGGTCTGCACAAAGATCCCAGCCCATAGGCAGAGCCTTCTGGAGCCTTGGCTGCCCCCATATCCCAGCCCCTTGAAAGGCCCATGAGCTGCATGGTTAGTAGGATCTGGCTGCGGGGGGTGGTTAGTAGGGCATGCTCGGGCCTGGTTAGTGGGTTAGTTGGTTGGCAGAAGGCCAGGCACCTCGCCACACGCCACAGCGTCCCGGCTGAGCCCTGGGTTAGTAGGTTAATCACACCATGCAACATTGCCCCGGCCCCTCCAGCTGCAGCTCCAGAGGCCTCCCGCCCCCACCAGCCAGGGAGTGGGGCCTGACCAGGGCAGGGGGTCTACCTCTAAGCCCCTCAGCCCCATCAAAATCAACCCTAACCACATGGACCCTGCTCAAAAGCGTGTCGCTTCCCTATTTATTGGCTGTGGGTCTCAGAGCACCCCCTGCAAATATTTCAGCTCCCTTGAAAATAGACCCGACTTGTCCTGGCTAGAAACCCCCTGCCTAGTTCTGGTCAGCCCCTCCCCAGAGGGCTGGATCCTGTTACACTCTGGCATAGACACACGCACACCAGCATCTCTCCGCAAAAGATCTGACACCTGTGCTCAGTAGGCATCTCTTCCATCACCGACTGTCAGGCCTCTAGTTGCTCCAACTATTGGCCTGCCCTCCCCCTCTAAAAAAGAAAAACAATAACAAAAAACAAAACAAAAAAAAACTGCATCAAGCTGGCCTGGCTCCTGGAACCAAGTTGAGACTCCCCACACCCTCCCGGTCGGCTTCCTTTTCAGCCCATGCTACAAAGCACCTAAGTGTACCCTAATTATGCCATCTTCTATCACTGCTGTACTTTTCCCATAGAAACCCCGGCCTAGCATCTCCCACAGTTCTAAACGATGTTCCATGAGAAATGGATTCTACGGCCATAAAAGTCAAGGAACACTTCATCCTATGCCCTGTCCCTGAGTGTCTGAAATTTTGCAGCAGAATTTGAATTTGAACCTGCCTTTCTTTTTCTTTTCTTTTTTTTTTTTTTAAAAAAAAAGCAATGATGACATTTCCTAGAACTTATTTTGGGAATTTAGAGGGTCAGGTCTCATCTCAGTCAGATCTTTCTCATCCTTCAAGGCTCTGGTTGGTACAGCTTGCTAGGAAGCTGTTCCAGACTGCAGCAGCCCTCTCTGGGGTCTGTCTCCCACTTCCCAAGCACTCAGAACTTGTGCCTTAATAGACAGTTTCATGGCACTGTCCCAGTCTCTGATTCTCCATGTGAGCTGGTTTTATCCCATCCAGCATGGCTGTGAAATCCTAAAGGTTCGAACCCTGGCACTCTTCACCTATGTTTCCCCCAAATGGCTAGCACGGGAAAGGGCCCAAAGTAGGTGCTCAGTGCTGATGAGAGAGTAGAATTCAAATACTCCAGGAAGCATTCTGAGTTACTATGGAGGCCATGAAATGCTGCCACCTCCCCAAGCTGATTAAAGAGTGATATTAGAAAAATAGGTAGGGAAAGGCTAATCAGAAATGCCTCTGGATCAGAAGATGCTGAGTTTTGAAGTCCAGAGGGCCAAAAAAAAAAAAAAAAAAAAAAAAAGATAAACCCTAAGTCTATACTCCCAGATGGATAGGAGCATTTACTGAATATCTGCTGGGAGTCAGGCACAGTGCTAGGCACACGACCTCACTGAATCCTCCCTGCACCTGACAGGCGGGCACATGCCTTCCATTTCACAGAGCAGTGGAGGCTCAGAGGTGAAGTAACTTGCCCAGGGTTGTAGCCCAGGCCCTTCTCAGGACACGGCTCTCCCAGGGGCTCCGCCTCCCCACACTGAGCCCAGCCAGTTCCATATGTCCTCCGAAGCACTCCGAGCCACCCCAGCCTGGTACCTGCCACTCTCAGTGTCTGCTTCCCATACCTCTGCTCCTCTTCCCCATCCCTGGGTGGGGGGCGGGAATTCTGAAGGGGAGATGGCTCTGACTTTCCATGTTTGCGGTGACCACCCTGCTAAGGACTGAATGGAGTCCCCTCCCCCAAATGCATGTGTTGAAGCAGTAGCTTACTATGTGACTGTTTTTGGAGATGGGACTTTTAAGGGGTTAAGGTTAAATGAGTCCCTAGGGTTGAGCCCTAATTTGATGGTATTAATGTCTTTATAAGAAGAGGAGGAGACACCAGAGCTTGCTCGTGCTCTCTGTCCCTCTCCACAGAGAAAAGGCCATGTGAGGACATAGCAAGAAGCTGCCACCTGCAAGCCAAGGAGAGAGGCCTCACCAGAAACCAACTCTAACATGGACTTTCCAGCCTCCAGAACTGGGAGAAAATAAATTCCTGATGTTTAAGCCATCCAGTCTGTGGCACGGTGCTGTGGCAGCCCAAGCCAATGAATAGTACACACCACTCCCCTTTCTGGGAAAAAGGACATCTGGCTTTTAAACTTGCCTGAGGGAGGCCACAAGCCGCTCTCTTGCAGACACTGGGACTGACCCCTCTGGAGGGAGCTGGAATTGTGGATTGTGGGGCCTGTCCTGCCACCTTCTGCTCCCCAAGAACACAATCCAGGAGTAGTGCAGCTGGAAGCAGGGATCTGATTGGAGAAGAGTGTCCTGAGATTGGGCTAAGGTGACCCCTCAATCCTTTGGGTAAGACTGGTTCCCTTTGGATGGCAGGAAAAAAACCCAGGGCCGCCTGTCTCTTTCTAGTGAATTTCCCTGGCCTAGATCTTATCTCTTAAAGACCTTCTCTTTTCAGGATGGTGCACACTCAGTCCCTCTAGCTGCCCCTCCCAAGTTCAACAGCACAGGGGGAAGGCTCCAGCTCCTCCCAGATCCTGACTGTCTCCTCTTTGTAACCATTAGGGAGAGGAAAAGCATGGAAAAGCCCCACCAAGGAAGCCCCACAAAATGACAATTACGCACAGAGCAAACGGAGACAAAGGACTCCAGCCAGCGGCACTGGAGGAACTGTGTCTGCCCTCTCCCTGACAGCCCCTCCCTGACTTCCATCATGTTCCTGTCCCCATCCTGTAGGGTCCTTTGAGACCCAGCCTTGGGGAGAGTGTGGTCAGTGGGGCCTCGGCCCAGGCCAGGCACTGTCTGGTCACCGGCAGAAACACAAGGAGGAATCAAGTTCACATGGGGTCAGGAAAGGGCCCCCAGACCCAGACAATAGGGCCCAGCAGGCAGGGCCCGAGCAGGTGAGGAGGGAGTAGTGGGCTGCCAGGCCTCCCTCATACCCCTGGAGTCATCCTCCAGAGCCAGATCCAGTCGTCCACTGAGCATCAGCCAGGAAGAGCTCCCATCCATGGGAGGCTCCATCCCAACAGGTGAGGAGGGTGAGATCTTCAGGGAGTCACCCAGGGGGCTAGAAAACCACCGGAGTCTGCCCGCTAAGTTACTGTGGCCAGAGTCCAGGGTCACCCGAGGTCCAAAGAGAAGGCCAGGCCAGGAGTCCTGGAGATCCGGCCCAGATGGAGCCACCTGGGGGGGAACACAGCAAGTGAGGATGAAGCCACAGCCTCCATCTCCAACTTCCCACATCCCCCCCAGCCTAATTCTGCATCTCAGGGGATGCATGTTCAGAGATCCCCCCAGTCTCTCTCTCATGCCCCCAGCACACACACAAGGTGGAAGTGAGGACTCTGGACATGAAAAATTTTCAGAAGAAACTTAGGCCAGGCACGGTGACTCCCACCATGACTCCCAGCACTTTGGGAAGCTGAGGAAGGAGGATCACTTGAGCCCGGGAGTTTGAGACCAGCCTGGGCAACATAATGAGACTCTGTCTCTACAAAAAATAAGCCAGGCACGGTAGCATGAACTTGTAGTCCCAGCTACCCAGGAGGCTGAGGTGGGAGGATGTATTGAGCCCCGGAGGTCAAGGCTGCAGTGAGCCATGATCATAACACTGTACTCTAGCCTGGGCAACAGAGTGAGACCCTGTCTCTGAGAAAAAGGAAAAAAAAATGTTGTCTAAAAAGAGGAAGCAATGAAAGCTGAGAATACCCCACCAGGCAGGGTTAGCTCAGGGGACCAGAGGAAAAGCAGTAAAGGGAGCCCATAGCAAGCTCCAGGAGCCTCATGGGCAGAGACGGGGCAAGGATTTGAGTGGGTGGGAAGGACCTTCAGAGGCCTTTGATGGCTTCAATTCATTTTACAACATTCCCACTGGGAGGATCTCTGCACACCACCACCCCCAACACACACACAGATGCACGCACACACACACACATGCACGCACACACACGCACACGCACACACACACACTGCTCCCAGGATGAGGAGCTCACCGCCTCGCCGAGACTGTAATAAAGCGTGTTCTGACATGAAGATCCGAGCAGATGGGATCATGTCTCTGGGTTCACTTCTGCATCTCCAGCATCTGGCTCGGAGAAGTTGCTTGGTCCATTCCGGTGCTGAATGAATGAACAGGCTAAATTCTCTGCTCGAGCTCACCCACAGTGGTCTTGATTCCATCCCACCCACCCCCACCAGGACCACACAGAGCAAGCCTTCCAGCCACCTGCTTCCCTGGCCATCTTCTCATGAGCAGGAATGTTCTGGGCCTGAGGAGGGGGCACAGGTGGGAGGACAACCTACCCCCATGAAACCAAGCTCCACGTGACCTCCCTCCCTCCCCACATCTCTCTCAGGTTTACCTGGCAGCATCCAGCAGACACATAGGCAGTCCAGGCTCCCAGCTCCTTCCTTCCCCACACAGACCCCACAGGCCCATCCTGGAAGACAAAAGAGCCAACCACACCGCAGGAGAAAACCGCACCCAGGCCCCCTCCCCAGGCCCAGGCCTTGCCAAAACTCCCTGCCGAAGAAAGAAGGACCAGGAGCCAGTGAGGCTGGATCCAGGCACCCCACCCTCCACCTCCCTTTATTCCACCCCAGAACATCCTTAAAAGGTGAGGGGAGAGGGGTTCCCGGGTTCCCTTCACTCACTCCCTGTTTCCCGACAACAGCAGAATGCGACCCGGGAGAAAGGAGGACAAACTCAGCAGCTTGGTGACAGCTGAATTGCAGCTGAACGGAGAGTCAAGAATCCAGAATTCTGATCCCAGCTCTGCTCCTGCCACACTGGGTGGCTCTGGGACTCTTCCTGCCTTGACATTCACTCAAGGTGCACAATAATCACCCATTGTTTGAAGCAATGGATGGGGAAATAGAAGGGACCTTGCTGCCCAACAGTAATTTTTCTGCTCCCCCTCCTTCTCCCCTGCCCTTTCCTGATGCCCCATGCACCAGAGGAAATTTGGGGAGCCAGAGGCTGGAGTAGGACTCTTTTAAGACCACCCTGTGTCACCAGTCTGGAGAAGACCAGAGAATGACCACTAATCCTGACCTAGGACCATCTGCCAGGTTTTGCCTTTGGTGACAACTACACTGTCTTCATCAACTGACAGACCTGAATCAGGATTGTCAGGGAGCCATCTCAGCATATCTTCAAAGCTTTCGGTCAGCACCTGGGAGTGGGGGCACGAGTTCAGAACTGGAGGTGAACTCAGACACTTGCACTGAGAAAAATGCATCTAAAGTCACACTGCTAACTCTTCACTTAACTGCAAGGCCAAGGAGCTCTAGCCAAGGTTTATAAATATGATCACAAAACACCAAAATTGAAAAGGGCCAGTTCACATTACCAGGGAGTCCCCAGCTTCCTCCTAATAGCAGTTCTACAAGTACACAAGGTGTGAAGTCATTTAACTCAGCCTTCAAAAGTTCCAGACGGTGACGTTTGTAAAATACTAGCCCTAATGCCAAATGTGGAGTGTGAAAATCACCCTTTCTGGGACCCCACAAAATGGGGACAAGCTCTTTCTTTCTTCCATAGACGTAGAAAAGAGAATGAGCTACATCACCCATTTCCCCTCCCACTTTGGGATTCTAGGATACTACACTTCCCTGCACAGACCAGAAGAGGGCAGGCTGGTAGGCTATGGCCTGGTAAGTTTAAATACTTATCTGCAAGGATGCTTCTCAGTGTGGTTGTGAACGTCCTGAAGAACTGGGAAATTCCCTTCTGTCTCCTCTGTGCCAGGAACTTGCTGCTCTCTGTAAATAGACCCTGGGCTGCTCAAGCCTGGCTTGATCCACAGTGACCCTTTCCCCTGGCTCTGTGGACCTAGAGTCATGATATTAGTAAGGTGATGGAAGTTTCAAGGGACCTTTAGCTAGCTCCTGGGTGAAGCTGACACCGTCTTAGAGTGTACAAAGGAAGGCATGGGCTTTGGGGCCAGAGAAACCTGGAGGAAACTGTGGCTCTCTAACCCCCACGTACTTAATGTGTGACTCAAAGTTAATGATTTTCTTTCTTTTTTTTTTTTTTTTTCCTGGAGATGAGATCTCACTCTGTCACCCAGGCTGGAGTGCAGTGGCGTGATCTCGGTGTGTTGCAACCTCCACCTTCCAGGTTCAAGCAATTCCCCTGCCTCAGCCTCCCAAGTAGCTGAGATTACAGGTGTGTGCCACCACGTCTGGCTAACTTTTTTTTTTTTGTAGTAGAGACAGGGTTTCACCATGTTGGCCAGACTGGTCTTGAACTCCTAACCTCATGCAATCCGCCAGCCTCAGCCTTCCAACGTGCTGGGATTACAGGCATGAGCCACCACGTCTGTCCAAAGTTAATGATTTTCAAAGCTTAGCCAGTGCCTGGCACACAGCACATGTTCCAAAAATTATTTTCACCACTCAATGATTTAGACTTTAAGTAAATCTGTGTGTGATATTTATGTTCCAGAAAGATGAGCCATATTTATCCTGTAGCATTATATGTAGCATTATATGTGTATAGTGCAGTTAGGCAGCACTGACCGAATTAAAATCCCTATCTTGATGAATGGAAAAGCAAAGTCTGGCTTATCCACACAACGGAATCTACTCATCAATAAAAAGGAACAAACTATTAATACACACTACGACATGGATGAACCTTAAAAACATCATACTGAGGAAAAGAAGCTAGGCTCAACAGAACACATACTATAGGATCTCATGTATACAAAATATCCAGAAAAGGAAAATCTACAGAGATGAGAAATAGATTCGTGGTTCCTGGGGTTAGGGATGTGGATGAACAATAAATGGGTATGAGAGATCTTACTGGGGTAATGGAACTGTTCCAAAACTGATTTATGGCAAAGGTTGCACAACTCGGTACATTTATTAAAAATAATTGAATGGGTGAATTATATGACATTTAAACTATGCCTCAATAAAACTGGACAGAACAGGAATTGAACTACTGAGACATACAACAAGAAGCCTGGGCCTCAGCTAGGCTTGCTGGCTCACGCCTACAGTCACAGCACTTTGGGAGGCTGAGGCAATCACTTGAGGTCAGCAGTTCAAAACCAGCCTGGCCAACATGGCAAAGCCCCATCTCTACTAAAAATACAAGAATCAGCCGGGTGTGGTGGCACACACCTGTAATCCCAGCTACTGGGGAGACTGAGGCAGGAGAATCACTGGAACCCAGCAGGCGGAGGTTGCAGTGAGTTGAGATGGCACCACTGCACTGCAGCCCAAACAGCACAGTGAGATCTTATTTCAAAAAAAAAAAAAAAAAAAAAAGGAAGAAGGACCCCAAAAACAATCCTTTTAAGGGAAAAAAAAAAAAAAAAAACTGAACACAGAAGCTTCCATATATATGGAACATTAAAAAAAAAAAAAAAGAAAGAATCCTATCTACTTCTGAGAAAGCAGGTCAGTGGTTTCCTGGGGCTGGGGCTGGGGCTGAGAGGGGATTGACTGGGAAGAAATACAGGGGAACATTTCAGAGTGATGAAAATATTCTACATCCTGATTGTGGCAATGGTTACACAGGTGTACACATTTGTCAAAACACATTGAAATGTGTGCTTTAAATGGGGGCATTTCCTTGTATGTAAATTATACCTCAATAAGATTATTTTTGCAAAATCATTTATATGTGATAAAAGAGGATTGGAACTAAAAAGTGCCAGATCAAAGGCTGCACAAAGAACTGGTTGTGGACACCAGGGCCTCATCATCTCAGCTCTCCCTAGACCACACAGACCCCCCACTTCAAGCCAAGGTCAGTCGGGAAAGCCAGGATTTGTGGAACTGAAACCCAGAGGGTCATCAGAGGTCTCTCCCACCTCTGAGATTCAGGAGGTCTCGGGACATACGGATTTCGTAATGGATCTGACCTCAAAGCATGAAGCTGGTCTCTACCAACCAACCCCAGTGGACACAGGAAGAGAGGGAAGATCACCTTGGTTACTCCTGTGATGCAAACAGGGTCGTGGTGGCCACATGAACGTGTCTGGAACCACATGGGTGGACAGATGCCTCCAACTGTTATCAAGAAAAAAAGAGACAGGAGTAAGAGAATAAATACATACCCGTGGGTACAGTGGAGAATAGATGCTAAGGTCCCGTTTCAAATCACAGCGTTTCCCAAAACTGATCTCCTCGGATGCAGATCAAACGCAAAACAGGAAACTAGGAGGTATTTTGTTCAGGCCAGTGTCAACCAGTACATCCTAACATGGGTTTTATGGCATGGATTCCTATGCTGCTCTGCCATCGGCAAACTGTGTGACCTTGACCAAGTCCTTCAAAGCAGTGAGCCTCGGTCTTCTAATCCACAAATTAAGGATAATAACAGTGCCATCAGATCAGATGAGAAGACGAATGAGGCTTAGCTTGAATTCTACCATTTTCTTACACCATTATTATTGTCATCACTGACCACACAGTTCATTATCACCACCCATGAAGTATTCATGTTTCCCCCTAAACAGCATGCACTGCTCTTAGTAATAGATGGGCAGCTGCCAGGGAAACATACATTTGTTGCATTTTAGATTCCCTCTGGGTTTTTGGTCTTTTTCCCTGACTCTGGAATAAAATCGCTACTCAGAGATCTGAGACATGCAAGAGATGTTGGCCCAAATTGCCTTGGATGAGCCAGCGCCCAGAGATAACGGAAGCTCCAGGGAATAATGAAAATGTGCCACGTGTCTCGCAGGAGACATGCTGGGGGAAGCAGATGCTTCTGCAGAGGAGGATAAAGCACTGTTTCTTTATGAATTCAAACACAATGTCCACAAAAGAGGAGATTCGGAATTCAAATCTCCTTCAAACAAGGGAACCCCTGAGGTGGAGAGAGAGGAAAGAAAACCAAGAAGAAGGGAAAGGAAGCTAAACTAACATTTATTAAGAACAGATCCTAACTGGAAGTATCTTTATCTACATGGCAAAACAAGCTGGGTTTTATTATCCCCACTTTACAGATGAGGAAACTGAGGTTTCTAACAGGCCTGTTGGACCCCAAAGGGGCAGAAGGCGTGTTCAAATAGGGGCAGGGACTGGGAGCAGTGGCTCACACCATAATCCCAGCAGTTTGGGAAGCAGGGGCAGGAGAATTGCTTGAGGCCAGGAGTTCATGATTAGCCTGGGTAACAGATGGAGGCTCTGCCTCTACAAAAAATTCAAAAATTAGCCGGGCATGGTTGTGTGTAGTGGGCGTGCCTGTGGCTATTTGGGAGGCTGCAGCAGGAGGACCACTTTAACCCAGGAGGTGGAGGCTGCAGTGAACCTTGATTGCTCCACTGCATTCCAGCCTGGATGACAGAGTGGATTCATGTCATATATATATGGATCTATATAGATCCATATATATATGGATTGAATGAGAAAAGATCCAGGGAAGGTATATGTAAACTGCAAACTTGATGGCCATCTGCATTACTATTACGGTGAGAAAACTGGCCAGTGATTGATAAATCATCTCTGTTCAGTTTATTCCGGCTGCTTTCACAGTCTGTAGGCAAAAGAGTTCACTCTTAGGAGAGTGGCATAGTGTAGTAGTTACAAACACATGTTTCAGAGTCAAACTAGATACTATTTGAAATCCTGTCTCCACAGCTAATTTGCTGTGTGGCCCTGGGTTCATCACTTCACCTCTCTGAGCCTGTTTCTCACCTGCAATGCCTAATTCCCTGCCTTATGGAGTATCCGTGAGGTAGCACCAGCAAGAACCTTGGTAAACGGTAACAAAGTGGTAGTTAGGGTTAATTACTACTCATCATCTCCTCCACACCTTTGAGTACACCATAGCTCAGCACCCCCGTCCCTTCCATGACTCATCGGGTAGCTTCCAGAGGGGCCCACCTGGCACCATAAGGGATAAGGG